AAATATTTATTTAAAAGATTACCTGTAAAATATTTATTTAAAGATTGTAAAATATTTATTTAAAGATTACCTAAAAAATATTTATTTAAAGATTACCTGTAAAATATTTATTTAAAAGATTTGTAAAATATTTAATTTAAGATTACTTGTAAAATATTTATTTAAAGATTACCTGTAAAAATATTTATTTAAAATATTACCTGTAAAATATTTATTTAAAGATTACCTGTAAAATATTCAATTTAAAGATTACCTGTAAAATATTTATTTAAAGATTACCTGTAAAATATTTATTAAAAAGATTAAAATATTTTTTAAAATATTTATTTTAAAAAAGATTACCTGTAAAAAATATTTATTTAAAGATTACCTGTAAAATATTTATTTAAAAGATTACCTGTAAAATATTTATTTAAAGATTACCTTAAAATATTTTTTAAAGATTACCTGTAAAATATTTATTTAAAGATTACCTGTAAAATATTTATTTAAAGATTACCTGTAAAATATTTATTTAAAGATTACTGTAAAATATTTATTTAAAGATTTGGGTAAAATATTTATTTAAAGATTACTTGTAAAATATTCATTTAAAGATTACCTGTAAAATATTCATTTAAAGATTACCTGTAAAATATTTATGTTTAAAAGATTACCTGTAAAATATTTATTTAAAGATTACCTGTAAAATATTTATTTAAAGATTACCTGTAAAATATTTATTTAAAGATTACCTGTAAAATATTTATTTAAAGATTACCTGTAAAATATTTATTTAAAGATTACCTGTAAAATATTTATTTAAAGATTACCTGTAAAATATTTATGTTTAATAGATTACCTGTAAAATATTTATTTAAAAGAAGGTAAAATATTTATTTAAAGAGATAAAATATTTATTTAAAGTAAAATATTTATGTAAAAAGATTACCTGTAAAAATATTTATTTAAAGATTACCTGTAAAATATTCATTTAAAGATTATGTAAAATATTTATTTAAAGATTAGGAAAAAATTTATATTTAAAGATTACCTGTAAAATATTTTTATTTAAAAAGATTATTTAAAGATTAAAATATTTATTTAAAGATTACCTGTAAAATATTTATTTAAAGATTTAAAATATTTATTTAAAGATTACCCAAAATATTTATTTATTTAAAGATTACCTGAAAAATATTTATTTAAAAGATTACCTGTAAAATATTTATATTTAAAAGATTACCTGTAAAATATTTATTTAAAGATTACCTGTAAAATATTTATTTAAAGATTACCTGTAAAATATTTATTAAAAGATTATAAAATATTTATTTAAAGATTACCTGTAAAATATTTATTTAAAAGATTACCTGTAAAATATTTATTTTAAAGATTACCTGTAAAATATTTATTTAAAGATTACCTGTAAAATATTTATTTAAAAGATTACCTGTAAAAATATTTAAAAGATTACCATTAAAATATTTATTTAAAGATTACCTGTAAAATATTTATTTAAAGATTACCTGTAAAATATTTATTTAAAGATTACCTGTAAAATATTTATTTAAAGATTACCGTAAAATATTTATTTAAAATATTTAAATTTCAAAAATTATTATTTATTTAAAAATAAAATATTATTTAAAAGATTACCTGTAAAATATTTATTTAAAGATTACCTGTAAAAATATTTTTATTTAAAGATTACCTGAAAAAATATTTATTTAAAATATTACCTGTAAAATATTTTAAAGATTACCTGTAAAATATTTATTTTAAGATTACCTGTAAAATATTTATTTAAAGATTACCTGTAAAATATTTATTAAAAGATTACCTGTAAAATATTTATGTTTAAAAGATTACCTGTAAAATATTTATTTAAAGATTACCTGTAAAATATTTATTTGATTACCAAAAATTTATTTAAAATTAAAAATGTAAAAAATATTTATTTAAAGATTACCTGTAAAATATTTATTTAAAGATTACCTGTAAAATATTTATTTAAAATTACCTGATAAAGATTACCTGTAAAATATTTATTTAAAGATTACCTGTAAAATATTTATTTAAAGATTACCTGTAAAATATTTATTTAAAAATTACTGTAAAAATATTTATTTAAAGATTCCCTGTAAAATATTCAATTAAAAGATTACCTGTAAAATATTTATTTAAAGATTTTAAAATATTTATTTAAAGATTACCTGTAAAATATTTATTAAAAAATATTTATTTATTTAAAGATTACCTGTAAAATATTCATTTAAAGATTACCTGTAAAATATTTATTTAAAGATTACCTGTAAAATATTTATTTAAAGATTACCTGTAAAATATTTATTTAAAGATTACCTGTAAAATATTTATCTTTAAAAGATTACCTGTAAAATATTTATTACCAAAATATTTATTTAAAGATTACCTGTAAAATATTTATTTAAAGATTACCTGTAAAATATTTATTTAAAGATTACCTGTAAAATATTCATTTAAAGATTACCTGTAAAATATTTATTTAAAGATTACCTGTAAAATATTTATTTAAAGATTTTCATTTGTAAAATATTTATTTAAAGATTACCTGTAAAATATTTATTTAAAGATTACCTGTAAAATATTTATTTAAAGATTACCTGTAAAATATTTAAAGATTACTTGTAAATATTTATTTAAAGATTACCTGTAAAATATTTATGTTTTAAAGATTACCTGTAAAATATTTATTTAAAAGATTACCTGTAAAATATTAATTTAAAGATTACCTGTAAAAAATTTAATTTTATAAAATATTTATTTAAAGATTACCTGTAAAATATTTATTTAAAGATTACCTGTAAAATATTTATTTAAAGATTACCTGTAAAATATTTATTTAAAGATTACCTGTAAAATATTTATTTAAAAATTACCTGTAAAATATTTATTTAAAGATTACCTGTAAAATATTTATGTTTACAAGATTATTTGTAAAATATTCATTTAAAGATTACCTGTAAAATATTTATTTAAAGATTACCTGTAAAATATTTATGTTTAAAATATTACCTGTAAAATATTTATTTAAAGATTACCTGTAAAATATTCAATTTAAGATTACCTGTAAAATATTTATTTAAAGATTACCTGTAAAATATTTTTTAAAGATTACCTGTAAAATATTTATTTAAAGATTTAAAATATTTTATTTAAAGATTACCTGTAAAATATTTTATTTTAAAATATTTATTTAAAGATTACCTGTAAAATATTTTTATTTAAAAGATTACCTGTAAAATATTTATTTAAAGATTACCTGTAAAATATTTATTTAAAGATTACCTGTAAAATATTTATTTAAAGATTTGTAAAAAATATTTATTTAAAGATTACCTGTAAAAAATATTTATTTAAAGATTACCTGTAAAATATTTATTTAAAGATTACCTGTAAAATATTTATTTAAAGATTATAAAATATTTATGTTTAAAAGATTACCTGTAAAAATATTTATTTAAAGATTACCTGTAAAATATTTATTTTATTTAAAGATTACCTGTAAAATATTTATTTTTTAAATATTTACCTGTAAAATATTTATTTAAAGATTTGTAAAATATTCATTTAAAGATTACCTGTAAAATATTTATTTAAAGATTACCTGTAAAATATTTATTTTAAAAGATTACCTAAAATATTTATTTAAAGATTACCTGTAAAATATTTATTTAAAGATTTAAAATAAAAAAGATTACCTGTAAAATATTTATTTAAAGATTTTAAAATATTTAATTTAAGATTACCTGTAAAATATTTATTTAAAGATTACCTGTAAAATATTTATGTTTTAAAGATTATTTGTAAAATATTTATTTAAAGATTACCTGTAAAATATTTATTTAAAGATTTTAAAAAGATTTAAAGACCTGTAAAATATTCAAAGATGTAAAATATTTATTTAAAGATTACCTGTAAAATAATTTAAAGATTATTTGTAAAATATTTATTTAAAGATTACCTGTAAAATAATTTGTAAAATATTTATTTTAAAAATATTTATGTTTAAAAGTTTACCTGTAAAATATCTTTTAAAGATGTTTAAAATATTTATTTAAAGATTACCTGTAAAATATTTATTTAAAGATTACCTGTAAAATATTTATGTTTTAAAGATTACCTGTAAAAATATTTATTTTAAAGATTACCTGTAAAATATTTATTTAAAGATTACCTGTAAAATAATTATGTTTAAAAGATTACCTGTAAAATATTTATTTAAAGATTACCTGTAAAATATTCATTTAAAGATTACCTGTAAAATATTTATTTAAAGATTTTAAAGTATTTGTTTATAAGATTACCTAAAAATATTTATTTAAAGATTACCTGTAAAAAATAAAGATTTGTAAAATATTTATGTTTAAAAGAATTAAGTGTAAAGTCTTAACTTTTCTGGTGATTTCACAATATTCAATAAATTCTTTTCATTTTCACTGACTAAACTTCCATCAGTCCAATAAAGTTGACTATTCCTTTTGTACATTCCGAGCCAAATTCCTTCTGAAGCCCAACTGAATAAAAACAAAGCAAATGAGTTTGATAAATTAAATGAAAGACAATATATACGAATTTTCAGAATATAATTAAGATACTGTATTACTGATAACCATTTTCAATCGACTAAAGAATAAAAAGAAAATGATTTGATATTCTTTCATGATTGTAGAAACATAAATAAAATGAGTGAAAGGATTAGACCTGAGAAAAACGAAGAAGCTTTCATTGAATTCGAAATGAAGAATAAATTAGAATCTCATGTGAAAAATAAAGAACGTTATCAATAAGTGTTTGAAATTCTTTATTTAAGTCCATGTGAAATCTAAACAATATAGCTAACCAATCTTTATATAAGAACAAATTCTCTCTCTGATTATCACACAAAGTAGACTTAGATTTAGTTTTTCTTTATATAAACATCAGATAAATATATTGCAATTGATTACATTTTAAAACGGTCTTAAGACAACGTCATGTTGAGACACCTGTTCCCGTACGATCAATGAAGTTGAGCAATGTCGACCCTGATCAGTATCTAGATGGGGGACCTCTTGGGAATATTGGGAGCTGTATAATTGGATGTGCGGGTGGTGTAATGGGTAAGCTATAGGAATTGTTCATCGGAGAGCCAAATTCAAGTTCGGTTCGTTTTATTCACTGATGCGTAAATGCAGTTAGGAAAGGCATGAATCTACTTTTTTCTCCCAGCTATGGGTTAAATAGTAACACTTGTATTACTAACTCATTATTACAATTAAAAAAATATTTTTTTATGTCTTCCAAACTTTTCATAAAACGCAGAAAACGAATCAATCTGTCATTTCGCAAACAATCATTTCACACGTCAATCAACCAATCAATAATTTCACACGTTACTCAATCATTGAATCATTACATATGTCAAACAATCAATCAATAATTACACGTAAATCAATCAACCTTTTCATACGTTAATCAATCAATCATTTAATACATCGATCAATAATTTCTCCCGTCTATCACTCAATCAATCATTTCATACGTCAATCAATCAATCAAACATTTCAGACGTCAATCCAACTACCATCAGTCATTTTATGCGTCAATCGATTAATAATTCCCACGTCAATAAATCAATCATTTCACACAATAATCAATCAATTATTTCACACACCAATCAATCAAACAAACATTTCGTATGTCAAACAATCAAGCATTTCATCCGTTAAACAATCACTCAATCATTTCATCCGTCGATCAATCAATGAATTATTTCATGTAAAAATCAATCACTCATTTCATACGTCAATCAATCAATCATTACATGTTCAAACAATCAATCATTTCCCCCTTCAATCAGTCAAACATTCCATGCGTTAATCAATCAGTCAATCATTTCATCCTTTAATCAATCAATCAATTAATGCGTCACTCAATCAATCAATCATTTCACACGTCAATCAATCAACCAATCAATAATTTCATACGTCACTCAATCAATCAATAATTTCATACGTCAATCAATCAACTAGACATTTCAAACTCAATAAATCAATCATTTCACAAGTCAATCAATCATTTCATGTGTTAATCAATCATTTCATACGTCAATCAATAAATCCTTTCATACGTCAAACACTCAATCTATTATTTCAGACGTTAATCAGTCAGTCATTTCACACGTCAAACAATCAATCAATCATTTCTTCCGTCAATCAATCATTTCATATGTCAAGCTGTCAATCATTTCACACCTCAATCAATCTATCGTTCAACACGTCAAACACTTAATCAATCACATCATACGTCATTCAATCAATCAACGAATTACATATCCATCAATCAATCGATCATTTCACACATCACAATCAGTTATTTCACATAACAATCATTCAATCACTTTATCTTCAATCAATCATTTTACATGTCAATCAATGAATCAATTATTTCATCCATCAAACTCTCAATCATTTCAAACGTCAGTCAGTCAGTCATTCCATACGTCAAGCTGTCAATCATTTCACACTTCAATCAATCTATAGTTCCACACTAAAACAGTCAATCAGTTATATCATACGTCATTCAATGAATCACTGATTTTACACATCAATCAATCATTCAACACCTCAGTCAATGATCTCACACGTCAATCAATCAATACTTCCACACGTCAATTAATCAATCATTTCACATGTCAATCAGACAATCAATCATTGCATACGTCAATCAATCAATCATTTCAAATTTCATAACTTATGACTCTTCTTAAGGTTCTGTATCAAAAGTAAGATTCTTTTTTTATCATTTAACCCTATCTAGTTGGTTTTCCCCAATTTCTTTTTATTAGTGTCGTACTTTCAGAAAGTAAGCACCCTATATAACGAAGCTTTTTTCAAGAATACTTTTGCTAATATAAAATTATAACATCAATTTTCAGTTTCTGGAATTGCCCAAGAATCCGATTAAAGAAATTGAAACAAGAAGAAAACATCTCGATATTTACCAATTTAAGAAATGTTGCAAAAGATTTCTTCGTGTTGGGAATCAACCAAGAAGCGTTGTATAATGTCATTGGACCAACCAAAGTTAATGACGCTGGAAATATAGGAAATGAAATTAGATTTAGATTGTTCAGAGATTCAATGTTTTTACTTCGTACGTTTTTGATAAATTTCCCATCAATTTTTCTATAAACACATAATTTAATTTCTGATTAGATCTATAATAACCTAAGCATATACTATGTTCAACACAATTTTGGGGTTTGTAGCCACATTAGAAATTATGTTTTGTCTTTAAAATATTTTTACCTTTAATTTTCATTGATCCATCATGTATCAGATCGTAATCTGTATGTCTTATAGACATTATGTTTGTTGGTTTTTTTAGTGTGTTGGTAATAACAATAAGTAATTAGACTTTCAATATTAAGAAATAGACAGTTAATAGAAACAAATAAAACATGAACTATCTCCGAGTCTTGAAGAAGACAAGAAAATATATATACATTAGTGCCATTTCACCAATTTGTATTGCATTTCAAAAGTATAATTTAATATAATAGATTTGGGATTCCAGCAACTCCAAATCGAGATGTGTGTCTCAAGTTTCCGGTGTTGATCATTTAATTAGTATAGTGAATCAGACCCCAGTACAATAACAACACTAAGTAACGCACTTAGGAAGTTTCTTTACCTGCAGTCGGTGTGTGTTCGGCAATGCATTTTTGCCCGCTTGCATCGATCTCTTTGTATATTGAGAGTGCATGAATGAAAAACTTTCTTCGGCATAAATTATAAAGTTACAAGTTAACGTCGCCCAGAATTCACAGCCTCTGGGTCTGAGACCATACATTGCTTCTATCGACCATAACACAGACTATTTCGTTCTATATATTAATAAGTCTAAATAAAAATATTTACATTAATAAATAAAGTAATATTCTGGCATTAGAAGCACATAAAATGAGTAAATTTCGATTAACATTGGTAAATTGGTAACAGAATAAAATAAATTTAAAATTGTAACATTTTCAGATTGTGGACTCTCCCACAACAAGCTAGTTAACCCCAGCTGGGAAATGCACTATTCCTGTTATAATTTTCACCATCACAATCTTACAAAATATATAACAAGCATTCATTGGTTAATCACCTTCAATCTAGCTTGCTGATTGGTCAGTTCCGACCAATCAAACCCCCTGCACGTGACAAATCTGTTTTCCCGCTCAATATGCTTGGAACCTCACACGTGATACACGACCATTATATAAACAGAACACGTGTAAACTCCCTTGTAGTTTCTTTTCATTCATCTCTATCATTCCTTGCTACCAAGGACCAAGATCTAATCTTCAAGAACTCCCGTCTTAACTAATGCAGTCAGACGTTAAAGACCATTATCAACATTCACGCAAGTACGAACTCTGAAATCTCTTCTGAACTTTTACCAACTTGTACAATACACAAAGTTGCTAAAGAAACTTTATTCTTCTAAATTACAGTTTAATAATTACTTCCTTTTAATATGAACTTAGGTACAACTATTACCTAATCAAAGGGATACGACTCTGTCCTACCTTTTCACTCAGTATCCATGCATGTATACCAAATACTAATAAATTCAATTATCTTTTGAAACAAGATGTTTATGAATCATTATTTCTCCTTTTTATGTCTAACGTCAAGAGTTTTTGATCTTCATAAATTAAATAATAGGGAAAGAGGTTTTATTTGGAAAGTACAACTGGAGGTGGCCTTGTGCCAGCTTTATCTCCAGAGAGAGAAAAAAAAACAAATATGCTCTTCGCCCCTGCAAGATAACATTTGTAAAAGTAATAAGAAAAAGTAAATACTTTGAATAAATTAAGTCTGTTAAATAAAATTCCTATTTTTTTATTCATTTTAGAAGTCATTTTACAATTAACGGGAGAACAATAACAATGCGGTTATTTTTAAATGAAACAATTTAAAATGAGTTATTTCCCTTGAATCAAGGAAAACACAGTTCTTACCCTTTAATAACTTTAACTTTAATACTGGATTTTTAACTTTCGTTTGGGAAATTGCGGCATTTTAATGAACCAATGGAAAAAACAAATAATAAATGGGAAGTAGATATAAACAGAAATGGCGTTCGTTAAAACTTATGAGTTATTATGTTGTCTAATAATACTATACAATTGATTAAAAAAATTCAAAATATCCAGCAATCTCTGCACTTTCATTGAAATTGTCTATGTTATAAATGGGAAAATGCCGAAATCTCGAAAATATGGTATTAAATAAAAATTTAATTCAATTATTGTTTAAATTGTAACACTTCTTTCTCGAAATGTATGACACCTTCAAAAACCTATAAATTATTTTCCCACGCACGTACGGAAGAAGCCAGGATTAAAGAATTAAATAACATAGACATTTAGGCACCATGAGTTAAAGAACGTTACGGGCGTAGTTTCAGTCAAATAACAAAACCAGCAAATCAGAATTAAGGATTCAACGTTGGACAATCAAACGGAAGATCGAGAACTTAAAGTTTTGATCAAATTGTGCCTATCTCTACTGATATAAGCAAAGGAGATTAGCATTTTGACAGCAGTATAACGACAGTATAACTGGCAAATTTTAAAATCCGACAGAAACCTCGCTAGCCCTGAATGTTCTTCCGTACAACACACAAAACGTTCAAGTATTGTTTGTGACGTTACAGGCACTCTTCAACGTCTGAAAAATAACAACACGGAAAGCACGATACGGGTGCAGTGCAGAAAATTGCTGATAGAAAACGTGGATAATGCCTGAAAATGATCCGTATAACACACTCAAGGTAGCCATAATATGGCGGTTGGGATAATGCAACGAAAATATAATTCGAGAGCTGTTTAATAAGGCGACAGAATTCAATCACAGCTTCTGCGTCATATGAAAGGACTTCATATCTGATATATGTTATGAAAATTGCTGTTGGAGAGGCTACATGCTACAACCAAATGCTGGCGCCTATCGTAGAAAACCTGAAAAAAGCTTTCCGAAGAAATTGTGTTCCAAGGCAGAAAAACAAATACGTTACCCACGTCATATGCGTCTCAAAAG